AATCTTGAAGGTATTCAACTTGAAAAATCAGTGTATCAGGGATGTTTCAAAGGGCATCCCAACACTGAGTGAAATCTGGACAAGATCATCTTTAAGCCATATTCTTTGATGTTCTAAACTTTTACTTCTGATCATTTGGGAATAGTATATGTACTGTGATGCTTTGCCATGTTCATTTGGTTACATGAGTGTTTTTAAAAGTTGGTTGCATATCAAAATCAGGAGCTTTTGAAAAGTGCAAGTACAGATTTCAATGTAAACCTGTTTATTGAACAGTATTTTTGGTGAGGTGGGATCAGGAAATCAGTATTATCAAAGGCAACAGGTGACTGTGCTGCATCTAGACTCCTCTTGAAAGCATGGGGTACCTAAGGTCATAAGAGTGAATTCCATCCCTTTATTGGCTGTTAAGTTTTCAAAATTGTGCTTTTCGGTGACTAAAGTTTGGGCATTTTAATTCAGCACCCAGTCTTATTATGGGATACTTCTTTGTGAAAGGACAGCTAAACAACAATAGTAAGAGTAACAATTGCTTCTAAGATAAGCACTGTACTCAGTACTTCGTGTGCATTCCTTCATTTTATAGGTACAAGCCTATGAGGTCAACCTCTCAGTACTGCTTTTGCCACTTTACCAAAGGATTTAACACTGAGACACTTTGTTCCCTAAAATCATAGACTATTAGAAACTGCTGTTTGAAATCAGATCAGTAAAAATGGAACAACCTACACTTGCCTGGAAGATTTGAGTCACTGACACCAAGAAACAGCCTCAATTTTCAACCCAGGTGCAAAGCTTCAGATAAGGGTTTTTCAGACACAATATTCAACATCTATCTTAACTTTGTAGTTTCCAAGGAAACCGAATCCAGAGTCCACTTCTTAACTCAGACCTGATGTTAACATCTTTACTTTGAGCATTGCTCATTTTTGGCACTATCAAGATTCTGCCTTATTTAAGTATTGCCTAAACACCGTTTTTCCCAAATCCTATTTTTAACCCTGTTTCTTCCTTTGCCTGATAAGATGCTCCATACTTCTACTGGTATGCAATCTCCCTGCATACAACAAGCTAATAAACCTAACTTTGTTGAACTATAAGTATGTCTTTGGTGTACCTTACCAGATGGGCTTCACCAGTAGATATTATAACCTCTAATTTGATGATTAGTAAAAGAAAATTCAGAAAATAATTAATTTATGAAGGATCACAGAGTAAGTGACAAATCAACCCAGGCCTGCATGACTTCAAAGCCCATGCTCTTAACAGAATGCATGGTGTCAGAGAATGTTGAAGCTTCAAAAGAAACTAAGGCATGCCATTCTGCTAACTCCACATGGACACTAAGACTAGAATTCACTTATTGTGATATTCCAATCCACTGTCATAAGGGATAGCTTTATCTTTGTTCAGCTGCCAGTCAGCAACTTCTCAGGCTTTCTCTTTTCCCTGAAACTAATATGGACTCAGTATGTTCATGGTGCTTTCTGGATACTCACGACTTACTGAGACAGCAGTAAGGTAGACACTGCAAATGCTGGTGATATCTAGGCAGAAGCCAATGATGCACTCCCACCGACAGTGTAAAAGAGTTCCTGTTTCCCCACATCCTCTCCAGCAACTGTTGTTTCCTGTCTGTTTAATGATTGCCATTCTAACTGGCATGAGATGGTATCTCATTGTGGTTTTGATTTGCATTCCTGTAATGACCAGTGATAATGAGCTTTTTTCCTGTTTGTTGGTTGCCTAAATGTCTTCTTTTGAGAAGCCTCTGTTCATATCCTTTGCCCACTTTTTGTGGGGTTATTTTTTTCTTCAAATTTATTTAAGTTATTTGTAAATTCTGGATATTAGCCCTTTGTCAGATGGATAGATTGCAAAAATTTTCTCCCATTCTGTAGGTTGCTTATTCACTCTGATGATAGTTTATTTTGCTGTGCAGAAGCTATTTAGTTTAACAAGGCTGTCAATTTTGGCTTTTGTTGCCATTGCTTTTGGTGTTTTAGTCATGAAGTTTTTGTCCATGCCTATGTCCTGAACATTATTGCCTAGGTTTTCATATGGGGTTTTTATGGTTTTAGGTCTTACATTGTTTTTAATCCATCTTGAGCTAATTTTTGTATAAGATGTAAGGAAGGGGTCCAGTTTCAGTTTTCTGCATTTGGCTAGCCAGTTTTCCCAACACCATTTATTAAACAGTGAATCCTTTCCCCATTGCTTGTTTTCATCAGGTTTGTCAATGATCACATGGTTGTAGATGTGTGGTGTTATTTCTGAAGCCTCTGGTCTGTTTCATTGGTCTATATACCTGTTTTGGTACCAGTACCATGCTGTTTTGGTTACTGTAGCCTTGTAGTATAGTTTGAAGTCAGATAGCGTGATGTCTCCAATTTTTTCTTTTTACTTAGGATTTTATTGACTATATGGGCTCTTTTTTGGCTCCATATGAAATTTAAGTAGTTTTTTATAATTCCTTAAAGAAAGTCAATGGTAGCTTGATGGCAACAGCATTGTATCTATAAATTACTTTGGGCAGTGTGACCATTTTCATGATATTGATTCGTCCTATCCATGAGCATGGAATGTTTTTTCATTTGTTTGAGTCCTCTCTTATTTCCTTGAGCAGTGGTTTGCAGTCATCTCTAAAGGGGTCCTTCACATCCTTGTAAATTGTATTCCTAGGTATTTTAATCTCTTTGTTGCAATTGTGAATGGGAGTTCACTCATGATTTGGCACTCTATTTGTCTGTTAGTAGTGTATAGGAATGCTTGTGATTTTTGCACATTGACTTTGTATGACGTGACTGCTGAAGTTGCTTATCAGCTTAAGGAGATTTTGGGCCGAGACATTGGAATTTTCCAAATATACAATCATGTCATCTTCAAACATAGACAATTTGACTTCCTCTCTTCCTATCTGAATACCTTTTATTTATTTATTTATTTTTATCTTCCCTGATTGCCCTGGCCAGAACTTCTAATACTCTGTTGAACAGAAGTGGTAAGAGAGGGCATTCTTGTCTTGCACTGGTTTTCAAAGGGAATGCTTCCACCTTTCACCCATTTCGTATGATATTGGCTGTTGTTTTGACATACATTTCCTCAATACCTAGTTTCATGAGGAGACATGGAAGCTAGATCAGAGACTGGAATTAAGTGAAGTGCTGATGTGTGCAGACAATAAGGAGGCACAACCAAAGTTGGGTTGGGGGAAAGGCCAGCTATGTAAGAGAAGTGAGAGTGAGGACTGCCCGGAGGCTCACATGTTTCTTATCAGGAAAGGGGGTCCAGAGTTTTTATGATCCAGAGCTACTTGTTAACAGAAAACATTTAGAAGTAATCAACTTTAAATAGGTACCAACCATGAAGGGGTGTTGAATTTTATCAAAGGCCTTTTCTGCATCTATTGAGATAATGATGTGGTTTTTGTCATTGGTTCTGTTTATGTGATGGATTACGTTTATTGATTTGCATATGGTGAACAAGCCATGCATCCCAGGGATGAAGCCAACTTGATCATGGTGGATAAGCTTTTTGATGTGCTGCTGGATTCGATTTGCCAGTATTGTATTGGATATTTTCTCATTGATGTTCATCAGGGATATTGGCCTGAAATTTTCTTTTTATGTTGTGTCGCTGCCAGGTTTTGGTATCAGATGCTGGCATTGTAAAATGAGTTAGGGAGAAGTCCCTCTTTTTCTATTGTTTGGAATATTTCAGAAGAAATAGTTTCCGCTCTTCTTTCTATCTCTGGTAGAATTTGGCTGTGAATCCATCTGGTCCTGGACTTTTTGTTGTTGTTGTTGTTAGTAGGTAATTAATTTTACTGCTTCAATTTCAGAACTTGTTATTAGTCTATTCAGGGATTTGACTTCTTCCTGATTTAGTCTTAGGAGGGTGTATGTATTCAGGAATTTATCCATTTCTTCTAGATTTTCTAGCTATATGCCTAGAGGTGTTTATAGTATTCTGTGATAGTTTGTATTTCTGTGGGATTAGTGGTGATATCCCCTTGATCATTTTCTTTTGTGTCTCTTTGATTCTTATGGCTAGCACTCTATTTTGTTCATCTTTTCAAAAAACCAGATTCTGGATTCATTGATTTTTTGAAGGGTTTTTCATGTTTCTATCTTCTTCAGTTCTTCTCTGATCTTAGTTATTTTTTGTCTTCTGCTAGCTTTTGAATTTGTTTGCTCTTGCTTCTCTCATTCTTTTAATTGTGATGTTAGGGTGTTGATTTTAGATCTTTCCCGCTTTCTCCTGTGGTAATTTAGTGCTATACATTTCCCTCTAAATACTGATTTGGCTGTGTCCCAGAGATTCTGGCACATTATATCTTTGTTCTCATTGGTTTTGAGGAACTTATTTATGTCTGCCTTAATTTCGTTATTTACTCAGTCATTGTTCAGGAGCAGGTTGTTCAGTTTCCATGTAGTTGTGTGGTTTTGAGTGAGTTTCTTAATTCTGAATGCTAATTTGATTGGACTGTGGTCAGAGAGACTTTTTGTTATGATTTCCACTCTTTTGCATTTGCTAAGGAGTGTTTTACTTCCAGTTATGTGGTCAACTTTAGAATAAGCGCAATGTGGTGCTGAGAAGGATGTATATTCTGTCGATTTGGGTGGAGAGCTCTGTAGATGTCTATTAGGTCCACTTGGTCCAGAGCTGTTAACTACAGCTTTTCCATTCTTCTAATAAACGTTGGTACCTGCTTAAAGTGGATTACTTCTACATGTTTTCTGTTAACAAGTAGTTCTGGATCATAAGAACTCTGGACCCCCTTTCCTGATAAGAAGCATGTGAGCCTCCTGGCAGTCCTCACTCTCACTTCTCTTACACAGCTGGCCCTTCCCCCTACTCCACTTTGGTTGTGCCTCCTTACTGTCTGCACACATCAGCACTTCACTTAATTCCACAATCTCTGAACTGCCTTCCATGGCTCCTTCTACTCAAAAAGTGTTTTGTTTACCAGCTCCTTCTGCATCACCTGGGAGCTTGTTAAAAATACAGAATCTCACACTCTATCCTCAATTTCTTTGGCAGGGGGCATGCTAATCTTCCCTGTATCATTTCCATCTTAGTATATATGCTGCTCAAGTGAGCAGTGTATTCCCAGAGTCTGAATTAAAATCTACATTTTCACAAGATCCTCAAGTGATTCATTTGCACCTTAATATTTAAGATGCACTGGTCCAGACAATTGTTAAACACTTTCTGTTAAATAGGTTGAGTATTCCTAATCTGAAAATCTAAATCTAAAATTCCCCAAAATCCAAAATATTTTGAATACCAACATGGCGCTCAAAGGAAATGATAATTGAGCATTGTAGATTTCGTATTTTGGGACTAGGGATGCTCAACCAGTAAGTGTAATCCAAATATTTCAAATCTGAAAAAAATTCAAAATCTAAAACACTTCTGGCCCCAAGCATTTGAGATAGGGAACATTCAACTTGTATTGCATTTTTTGAAATCTAGAGACAACTTTTGTCTTTTTTTTTTCCTCTCTTGCCTTTGCATCTAGTCATTCACAAAATCCTATGTAATGTGCCTAGCCCATGTCTTATTTTTCCCCAGTCTTTCTGCTTTTTCTTTTGCTGACACTGAAATGGCCCTCTAACTACTCTCCCAGCTGGCATTCTCACTTCTCACCCAACCACTAATATTTATTACATCTTTTCTGAATGATATTCCTTTAAATAACAAACTGGTTTGGTATCATCAGTTTCTTCCTGAAACTCCATAAACACATAGTTGTGGCAGTGTTTAATCTTCTCTTTGGAGAGCTACATGTTCCTGCTACCTCTGCTTCCTGATACCTTTTTTAATTCTGCCTTCCCCTCTTCATGCATTTTTTACCTCCCCCATTCCAAGCTACTCAGATCTCCTAAATAACATGGGATCTTTCACACCTCAGCAATGTGTTTTCATGTGCTGTCACCAGTGCTGAAATGGCCTTTCCTTCCTGATCTACTTGGGAAATTTACTGAAACCATGCAAACCCACTATCCCTCTGAAGCCTTCTCTATCCCACCCAAATAGAATTAATTACTAACTAGTTTATGGCTGCATTAGTCTGCTCTCACATTGCTATAAAGAACTACCGGAGACTGGGTAATTTTTAAAGAAAAGGCATTTATTTGACTCACAGTTCTTTAGGCTGTACAGGAACCGTGGCTGGGGAGACATCAGAAAATGTACAATTATAGTAGAAGGCAAAGGAAAAGCAGGCACATTTTACATGTCTGGCACAGGAGGAAGAGAGGGCAGGGGAGGTGCTACATGGTTTTAAACAACCATATCTCATGAGAACTCATGCCCAATCACAAGAACAGCAAGGGGGAAATCCACACCATGATTCAATCTCCTCCCACCAGGCCCCTCCTCCAATATTGGGAATTACAATTCGACATGAGATTTGGGTTGGGACACAAATCGAAACCATATCAATGACCCATTGCACATTGTATACATTGTGGGTCTCATTATATTGAAATTATACTTAGAGCTATATTTTTTCCTTGTTCCTGTCAGTATCCCACTAGAATGGGACATCTTGAGTCAGAGTGAGCTGTATTAATTCCTGATCTACAGCGTTTAGTGTCTAGCATATAGAGGATGATTGACAAATCCTTATTGAATGCATAAATGCATGTGTCATGTTTCAACATGAAACAGACGTTGCTCCTCAAATAATTCTACATATATTTTTGGTAGGAAAATATTGACTAACATACTGATATTTTGATAGATATTAATAAATATATTATTGAAATGGAAAATACATCAGAGTTAGGGGTTTTTTTTATCATTGACATATTTATTAACCAATCCTGTAAGAAAAAGCTATTAATTAGGTTCACATTAATAGTATATTATAATAACAGCTGTTATAAAGAGTTTACAGTTTTTTCAATAACTTCTTGAAAACCCTACAGATTACAATAAAATGTAAATTGTGACTTACGCATGTATGTTTCAACGTTCAGATAAGAAAAAAATTGTTTTGTTTTAAAACAGTATTGAATGAGTAGAGAAGTAAATCAAAAGTTCCAAATATGAAGTACAAAGTATTATAATTATCTGTGCTTAAATTGCAGCCATACAGCCTAGGCAATGGTTAAAAATTAGAACACATGAAAATTACCTGGCGAATTCTTGCAAACCATACTCAAATCCTACTTCAGTGCAGAACACCTAGAAAGGACTCAGTAAAGTTTGGTGAAAGTGCAAGGGAAGAAAGGAGAAAATAAGGAAGAAAAAGAGGAAGAGAAGGAGACAGGTAAAAAAGAAGAAACAAAAGGATGAAAGTAAGAATGTAAGAGAAGAAAGATGGAGAGAGAAGGGGGAAAGGAGTGGGAAAGGAGAGCATGAAGAGGAGGTGGAATGCTTTGCAAAGTTGATCCACTTTCAATCATGGTAAATATCTCAACACTCCCCACTTTATAATGTTTATATAACTTTTTGCAGAGACCTGACAAGAAGACTTTATACTTGACTTACAGTTTTAGCTCTGTACTTTATGACTAATTATGTATAAATGTATAATCCAAACTACCTGTTGGATGACGTTTGTTTGTAATTTTGAATCTGTCTTCTTGATAATGCAAGGTTCTCCAAGAACTCAGATATTTCTACTTGACTGCTGTACTTCTCAAGGAAAATACTGTTTTCTTAACAATGGTTACTTCATTTTCACAGTCTCTACATTCAGTGGCCCTATATTATGTTCTAGGAAAATATTACTATTTTCTTTTATTAATGAAAAGAGAGATGAAAATGTAAATTACTAGAGCAAAAGATGTATATTGACAAGGAAAGATATAACCTATATGAAAATGTCTACTATTTGGGGTATAGAACCAAAATCCTTATGACTTTAATTTTATCTTATGTTTAGGGCCCACAGTAAATTTTACTGTCAGTTTCTCTGAATGAATTAGAAATTTAGATCTGAATTTGTAAAACTAGCTCAAACATTATCTTTTCTACTGCGGCCTTTCCTGGCCATTTCACTACGTGGTACTAATTCCCTCTTCTTTTACTCCTCCATTATATCCCTATAGGTACTTACAAGTTTGGAAATATTTGAATTCAGTATACATAATCACTTGTATTCTGTTACAATCACAGTTTGATAAATTACTCAAAAGAGAAGGCTATATCATACTAATCTTGAGTTTTCAGAATAGTATTGTTCCTGCCCCAAAGAATGCACTTAATAAATGTTTAATAGATCAGTGCCTTTAAAGGTCAATGAGAGAGACATAAAATACTTCTGCTTATGTTTTTCTGACAACAGAAAATAATACATACTTAAACTGGAAAATGTGGAGAGAACAAAAAATATTGAGTAGCAGAAAAAAATCAGCTATCTAGTTTCAATAACAAGAGATAACCTTTATCAACACTTTTTCCTTTACTTATCTATTGCTAAATTCAGGTATAAGGCATTGGTCTCTTTTCAGATGAGTATTTGCAAAGGGGATTGTTTTTAAATTGAGTTACTTATGTCCTCCTGAAACAGTTTTTATAAAGTTAAAAGTGTTTAATTGCAATGAAGCCAAAAAGGGCAATTTAATGAAGTAAAGGGTTTATACAGCTTCATCTATGTGGTGGTTATTTTAATGAACCAGCCTTAACTGTTTCTGTGAACCTCTGATAAAACTGTGTAACTCTTAGGATGCTTTCAGTGATAAAGTATGCCTGACTTATTTCAACACCATATTTTTAGATGTTTACATTTAACTATCTTTGTCTGCCAAGAGCTTTCAAAACACAAAATAACCTTTACTACACATATTGATGAGAGGACCGTGATGACAAACAGTGTATCTGTGCTACTACATAAAACCCTTCTCTGCAGATCTCCTATTTGCATGAATTTGTTAAAAAGCAGGCTACAAATGTAATCTTCTCTCATACTTTGATATTTGGGGTTGTTTACTACCACCAGATTTTGGGTACCTGCTAAACATACATTTTATATGCCATGAGGGAGATAAGCTTTATGAAACAACTCATAACAACTTTTCAGAAAATTGCACATTTGAAGATCCAATTTTGTTCTTTCACACAACCACTGAAAAACAGTCTCCTTTCTGATCACCAGGCAATTTCCCAATCTCTTTAGAATTTCTCTTTCTAAACAATTTCTTCCAGAAAAGCTTTTGGAAATAATTTAACACTTCAGTCTGCCCTAGTGAGATGGGCGAATTAGAAAAATCTGAAAATAGATTCCAGTGAAAATAAAGCAGGGGGACCAAGACTTTACCTGAGTGTCAATGCCTCCCTGGTGAGAGCTTGGCTCCATCACATTCAAAGACAAACTCAATAACAGAAGACATGTTGCTTTTAATTTTTGTGCTCAGCTTTAAGCACTCACTGATAAAGCACGCAAATCACTAAGCTATAATACTTCACACACATAATTCTAATTATTTTAAAAAGACATAATTTGAAATCAATATTGGCTATTTTTTGCATAAATATGAAAGTGAGTATGTGCCTGAGACACAGTGAGATAGCATAACTAAGAACACACTCTCTAGGATATGACTATGGGGGTTCATTTACTGGTCTTGTCATTTATTAGCTATACGACCTCAGTTAAAATATTTCACCTCTCAGTGCCTCAGCTCCTTAACTGTAATCTGGTTACAATAACAATACTACCTCATCAGGCTTGTTTGAGGATTAAACAACTTTATACATGTAAAGTTCTCAGACTAGTGCCTGGCTGCCAGGCTTAAATAAGGAAGCTCCTCAATAAAACATAGGATGGGCATATTTTATATACTTTCTAGAATGTTTGAAGTTAAGCCCTATGAACAAACCATATTAGAAAGATGAATATTTAAACTCTAAAGATAAACTTTTAGATTGTTAATTTACTCCAAAGTTTGATGAACTTCACTTGTCACTAACAGTATATGTCCTTATTCTTTCTTCCATGAAGATGGGTAGAAGATGCATACATTTCTTTCACACAGTGATGACAAACATTCATTGAGCACTGATCATGTTCCAGACCCTGTAATAGGTAGTGTAGCAGTTTATTTTGTTCTCATAAATACCAAAAGAGTAGCATCACTTATTATCCCCA